TTGTATCTATAAAGAAAAATCACCTAAATTTGTTTTAATAAATTTCATTAAGAAAAAATTAAAATAACCTAAAGTATTTATATTAAAGGTTAAATTCATAATTTAATCCCTAAACTATTATACGGACCCACGATTTGGTCCATACTGTTTATCGATTTATCTTAAGTTGGTCATTTCATACAAAAATTAACTAACATGTCTTGTTATTAACTTGACACGTAACCATTAAATTATTGTTTTTCGTTGTTAAGTCACTATTTTTCGCCGTTAAATAATGGACACGTTAGCTATTTTTTGTACGAAAAGACTTACTTGGGGCAAATTGGTAAACAATAAAGACCAAATTGGGGGTTCGTACAATAGTTTATGAATCAAATCAGAGATTTTTTTTAGTTTATGGACCAAATTGAGGGTTTGTACAATAATTTAGGGACCAAATTTGGGGTTTAACCTATATTAAAATATATATTTTATTCTTTTTTGGTTAAATCCCCAATTTGGTCTCTGAACTATTGTATAGACCTCCAATTTGGTCTTTAAACTAAAAAAATCCCTGATTTGGTCCCTAAACTATTGTACGAACTCCCGATTTGGTCTACTGTTTACCAATTTATCCCAAGTTGATCTTTCCGTACAAAAACCAACTGACATGTCTTGTTATTAATGTGACACATGGTCATTAAGTTATTATTTTTTATCGTTAAATTATTATTTTTTGTCGTTAAGTAATGGACACATAAGCTCTTTTTTGTACAAAATGACCAATTTGGGGCAAATTGGTGAACAATAGAGACCAAATTGGGGGTTCACACAATAATTCAGGGACCAAATTAGGGGTTTTTTTAGCTTAAGGACCAAATCGATGGTTCATACAATAATTTAGAGACCAAATTCAGGGTTTTTTAGTTTAAGGACCAAATCAAGGGTTTTTTTAGTTTAAAGATCAAATTGAGTGTTCATACATTAGTTTAGGGACCAAATTGGGGGTTTAACCTTTTTTTTTTTTTTTTCATATTTTTGTTTCTGATTTAAAACCGCTTCCTTTTTCTTTCTTATTAAAATTTTTAGCAAAAGAAAAAAAGAAAGAAAAAAAAAAGAGTTAAGAAGGATATTGAATGTTTGTAGAGCGACTATCAGTTAATAAAATAAAAGAAAGGAAACTATTTTGAGAGTTTTTACTATTTTTTCTTTGTTTTGAGTCTTGACTAGCTTCATTTTGAGCTCTTGTTTATTACCATGCAGTTGTTATTTACTAGTTTCTTGGCTTCTTTTTTTGTAATTGTGTGACATGCTAAGCTTTCTTAATGTGGGCAGTTACTGCATGAGATGGGGTTTAATGTCCTCTACAAAGTTAAGGGAATCTGCATGGAAGAGTCTCTACATTCAGGTATTCCAAGTTTAAACCTTTTTTTCCTAAATCAAACTCCTTCAGAAGCTTGGATCTTTCTTTGTTTAATTGATGCCCTGAACCTATTTTTGTGGCAAAATACCCTAATGTGTCAGTAAGTTGCAGCCAGACTTCCCACACGGTCATTTTAGTCATACACATTATTACTGTGCTAGTGGGATGAATAATTGAATATAGTTTATAGGAGTTTAATTTTATATCCTCTAATATATGTGCATGAGCAGCCTTTGGCAAAAAACTTCAGTGGTATGAGTATAGTTTCTTGTGTCTACCTCACCCACTGAACTCCTCTGAAATATATGTGTAATCAGCCTTTGGCAAAAAAATTGAGGCCTATGGGTCCTTATCTTGCTGTGAATTGGAATATGGGTAATACATCAATATTCAAGCTCTAAGTCGCACTTTCTAGAAAACATGTCATGTCAATTAGGGTGGTTGAAATGGCATGAAATGGGGAAGTTGTCTATTGGAATACTTTCTTTTCAACTTTCAACTGGACTGAACCCTAGGCAATGTATTGGTACTTCTACTGGTTTAATTTTCAACATATGTTTTGAGTTTTGTGCTGGCTTCTCAGGTGGTCTGCTCTTTCAGACATGTTTCCAGAGCTAATTCAATGCTATAATTTTCAAGAAATCTGTTTTTATTTTGCAGCGTGATGGGGAGGACTTGATTGAACTTGTTAGAAACTGCCCACCTGAGTTCAAAGAGTACTACATTCAAATGCAAGCAGCAAAAAGGAGCCAAGCACCTCTTCCATCACAGGTAACTTGGTTTACTGATTCATGAGCCTTTAAAATTGAAAGGGATGTCCGTGACTCGGTGTGGAAAGATTTTTGAATGCAGGAAGGATATGGTTAGGATCCTTTACCTTTTTGTGTAACTTTGCAGACTGTTCCTGAGTAATGAAATTTTATCCTGAATTTGTTGAACCTTTCTTAACTTAAACATACAAGGCAATAAAAATCAGAAAAAAAAAAATTATTATTACCTTTTAAGATTAAATGGAAAGGAATGAGCTCATAATGTGATAAAAATTTTGAAATGCCCAGTTGAAAATAATGTACCCATGTAATGTTTATCTCAATAAATAAATAATGCATTTTCTTGCTGTAGCTCAAATATTGTTTCTTACAATAAATTGTGTGGGTCTCAGTTGGGTAGGTGTGCATCCTTGTTTTTGTACAATGCACTCTTGTTTTTGTACAATGCACTCTTGTTTTTGTACAATGCACTCTGGTTGATATTTTATCATAAAATGCCAAAAAGAAGAAGAAGAAATAAGCAAATGAAAGATGAATCAACTTCTTCTATTTTCATTTTGAAATCTTTCAGGAAATAGTGTTCTAAGGTGCTTATTCTGTTTGTCATACAAGAATCTACAATGCTAACAGGTATGCTTCTGACTGTGTTTGTTTAATATCTGAAGGTGAAAGATGATCGGATATTTCTCGACAAGACAGTTGCTGATCAAGTATCTCTGTGGAAGAGCAGTCATGGCCTAACCGATAAGGTGTTCACTGGTCATGCTTGTTCAGGAGAAACCTGTTCCTACCACCAAATTGGAAATGTATTTGTTTGTGAGAAGACTGGGCATGTCCATGGTAAGAATATTAAATTGTTGCAATTCTTGCCCTTACATACATTATGAGACTTCTGTTCATGGTTTTTGGTCCTTTGTAGTGTGTGATGATACTTGCAGAGAAGTGATTTTAGACCCAACCAATGAGCTTTTGGTTTGCACAATATCCGGTCATTGTTTTGACAGGTTGCTGTCACCATCTGAAATGGAATTGGATTCGGTGAGTAAACCAAATACCTGTCATTTATATTAATTTATCAAATGGATTATTTTGTTAACTTTTTGACCCATTGTGGGTCTGCTGTTGATTAGCCATTATTCTGTGTCCATTTCAGTTTTTATTTATATATATATATCTATATATTCACAATACTTAGTGTTTTTTTCTGTGCTCATGGAAATTTTAGGAGCAGCAGCAAGGTGGTGGCACTGATGAAGCAGAACCATTCATGGGTTCTGGCCGCTTTGGTATTAAAATTCACCGAGCTCTTTAATCCTTAATCTGTTCCCTATTTTCTGAAGATTTTATGGTAAGCATCTCACTGTCTTCTTTGTGTGGCAGCACGAGCTTACTTATTGGGATACAATTGCGCGGATGAGAAGGAGCTTAAAGCTGCTTTGAGGTTCTGCTGATACAAATCCAAATCCTGGTTGAATATGTTGATCGCATGTTGGCTGTAGTAATATTTTAAGTTATTATATTATCAGAACACAAGAGTTTTGTTTGACCTTTT